TTTTTTTTTTTGCCACGAGCAATCAACATTTCTGTTTGAATATCTTAACCTATGACCCCTGAATTATAAATGATGATATCGATTAGAAGCGGCCGCTGACGAGAATGATTTGGTGTGTTTTTAACGCCACAGGAAATGGTTTTGTGTGACCAAAAACCTCCAGAGAACAAAGTTTCGGATGTCACTTTTTTTTTTCCGTCCACGGTTTCACTGCTGGCTCTTTTTTTTATAGCGGAATAAAGATTTGTTCAAATAAAACAAAGATTCTTAAAAATTTTAAAACAAAGATTTTTATAGCGGAACAAAAATTAGTTTGAAATAACGTAAAAACATTGTTATTACAGAAAAAAAGATTTGTTATAATAGAACAAAGATTTGTTATAACAATTAAATTTGATATAACGGAAAAAGATTTGTTTTAATAGAAAAAAGATGTTGTATATTAGGACAAAGATTTGTTATAATAGAACGAAGATTTGTTATAACGGGAACAGGACATTTCCCCCCTGTCAATTACCCCCCGGATATTTCCCCCCCGACATTACCCCCCAGAGTAATTACCCCCCCTGTCAATTACCCCCCTGTCAATTACCCCCCGCCCAGTAGGACATTACCCCCCCCCCCCCCCGGACAGGGTTAGAGTTAGGGTTAGGGTTAGGGTTACGTTTTAGGGCTAGGGTTAGGGTTAGGGTTAGGGTTAGGGTTAGGGTTAGGGTTAGGGATAGGGTTAAGGTTAGGGTTAGGGTTAGGGTTAGGGCTAGGGTTAGGGTTAGGGTTAGGTCTAGGGCTAGGGTTAGGGTTAAGATTAGGGCTAGGGTTAGGGTTAGAGTTAGAGCTAGGGTTACGGTTAGGGTTAAAGCTAGTTTTAGGGTTAGGGTTGTGTCTAGCTTTGGTTTTGGTTTTGTGTGAAGGTTTAGGCTAAGGTGGATGCTTAGGTTTTGGTATTTTTCTTAAGGTTTGGATGAAAGTAGTATATAGGGACAGTGGCGTAGCGAGGTCGGGTGTCACCCGGTGCGGCACTTAATAGTGTCACCCCCCCCCCCCCCCCAGAGACATAGAGACCCTTCCAAGGGACAAACTTTCAAACTTTCGATTTGCACCCCCCCCTCAAGTTTTCGATTTGCACCCCCCCCCCCTCAAACTTTCGATTTGCACCCCCCTCGAGTTTTTCTCTATATATTTTGCTATTTTTTGCCTTGGTGTCACCCCCCTTAATTGTGTCACCCGGTGCGGTCCGCTGCCCCCGCCCCCCCCCCTCGCTACGCCCCTGTATAGGGATAAAATCCTAGTTAGAGTTAGGATTTTAACTTGAGAGGAGGGGGGTAATTCCCCGGGGGGGTAATTGACAGGGGGGTAATTGACAGGGGGGTAATTGCACCGGGGGGTAAATACGGGGGGGAAATGTCCGGGGGGGAAATATCCAGGGGGGTAATGTCCTGTAGCCGTTATAACACCCCACTATAACAGAATTAAGATTTGTTAAAATAAAAAATAGATTTGTCATTTTGTTATAACAGAACAAAGACAACAGTTAACAAAGAAGTGTCTATTGAAACATAGATTTGTAAAAGCCAAGATGAATTCTCTAATAAATAAATTAATCTACTTTCTCTGGCCCATAATTTTTACACAGGAACAAAGTTTTATGATCTGATATAAAATGTGTATATTTAAACAAATGTTTTCTAAACAGGGCGAATACGTGTATACCTTGAAAAATTTAAATAGTATACATACACGCATAATTATGTGTGTACCTTAACAACGATTATAAGAGAAAAGTGTAAATTAATCCAAGCGATGCTTTCATATGATTCTAACAACACAACTATGTCTATAACATTAGATTCTAACAACACAAAACAACTATGTATATTATATTCTAACAACACAACTATGGCTATAACATAAGATGCTTACAACTACTATGTCTATAATATTAGGTTCTAACAACAAAATATACAAAACTCTACAACATTGGATTCTTACAACCAAATCATAATAGCCTATAAAATTAGATTCTAACAACAAAATATACAAAACTCTACAACTAAATCATAAAAGTCTATAAAAATGAGATTCTAACAACAAAATATACGACTCTAAACTCTAACGCAACACCGCCGAAAGCACCCCCAGCCCCTGTTTCCACAGACACGCCCCTGAAAGTAATTAGCCGTCTTCCTGGTATGGGGACCAGTGCTTTTCCACGTGTTTCCTAGCGCAGACTGAGTGTGCGCGGCAGGGTGCGCAATCAAACTTCTCTCCATTACCAAAATACTCGGGGCCGGCTAAGCCCGCATCGGTGGCCAGATGAATTGATCTCGCCAGACTTATTCGAAAATGAAATTAAGCGAGCAAATATTTGACTAGACGCGACTCCTTAAAGAGGAATGAAACCAAAGGCAACACTCCGCCAATGTGCCTCGTTTTCATTGATAATCGCTTCTTAGGATTTTTTTTTCTAATTAAAATACATTCGGCCGGCCCCCCTCCTCGTGGCCATGTTGCGGAAACAACAACACCACCGCACCCCCTCCCTCCCCCCACTTACATCCATAAAAAAACATTTTGGCTCTTAATTTGACCAAATTTGAATTAGTTTTTCCTCGGCCGATTAATTGAATGAAAATACGACTGGCCGAGGGGGCGGAAATTGGCCAAACGTGGCCAAGTTTTGGGTTGCCACATCTACACATTTTTTTGTGTGCTCCGCGCAGCTCCGACTTTATTTTGATTGGCGATGCGTTTCTAATTCATTTAATATGCTGCTGTAGTTTTTTTTTTCTCACATCGATTTTATGTGTTAAATATGCGTAAGTCTTAAATAAACTTGTATCTAGGCGTGTTTTAGATGTTTCAATTTAAGATGAAAACTAAATCAACTTTAGATCTACAAGTCTAATAAATTCATAAACCAGGGAGTAAACATACAGCATGTGTGCTTTTAAACATTAACTCTATTAAATTTAAAGTGTATCAATGTGTTTTTTAAAGGACCAATTTGCTGTGTGGGCCTCGTGGCCTAATGGATAAGGCGTCTGACTTCGGATCAGAAGATTGCGAGTTCGAGTCTCGTCGGGGTCGATTTTTTTTGTTTTACTCATGTATATCAGTATCAAATTATGAATATATTATCTATTTTTATCTGCACTTAAAATCGTATTCTCCACGGACGTAGCTAATGCCCCCCCCCCCACACACTACACACACATACATATACCACACAAGGAATGCCCTCGCGCGTTAAGTTACAATTGACAACCGTGAGTACCATTTAACACCCACAATATCTTTATTTCTGCGTGTCGTAAAACCAGTTTTACATTCTAAAATTTTATATTAGTGCAGGCGCCATTGGTATCTCCACTGAGTCATTACTGCAAAAGAGGTTGTCCAATTCATGGTGCCATAATCACAGCTGAAATACTCAAAGCTGATATGGAAATAAAAGTTGCAGAACAAGGTCGCTAAAATAATGAAAGGTTTTCATTTGACAGGAAACTGTTGGTGATTCGTTGTCAAGCCGATGGGCGTGTCAGTGTTGTTTTCTGTGGCACTTTCAAGATGTTTGATTGGTTGTTTGATAGCATCATTTGTCAACAAATTAAATTTTTTGGTAAAAATATCTCTTACCACGCCCACTTACTTACCGACTTTCTGAGCACGCCCCCTTACTTATCGAATTTCTGACCACGCCCACTTATTTATCGAATTTCTGACCACGCCGACTTACTTATCGTCTTTCTGACCACGTCCACTTACTTATCGACTTTCTGACCACGCCCACTTACTTATCGACTTTCTGACCACGCCAACTTACTTATCGACTTTCTGAGCACGCCCCCTTACTTATCGAATTTCTTACCACGCCCACTTACTTATCGACGTTCTGACCACGCCCACTTACTTATCGACTTTCTGACCACGCCCACTTACTTATCGACTTTCTGACCACGGCCACTTACTTATCGACTTTCTGACCATGCCCACTCGACTGTCACCATTGACTTTCTCTGACCACACCTACTGTTACTACCCACTAACTTTGAACACACTTACTTAACTACCCACTATCTCTGACTACACCCACTTCACAACACATTATCTCTGGCCACACCCACTTAACTGCAGTCTCAAGAATCAATCAGTCAGCAAGTGACGGCCATAATCCAACCATTGCTGATGACAATTCCTTATGTCACACAATACACATTTTAGTCTTGTGCTCAGTCAGCTTATACATTTCAGACACCAACTCTTCAATTATTATTTGATTCTAAATCGTTAAGTAAATGACCGTTTAATTAGTGAAATATAAATGAAAACAAACAAGAATAGAATTAAATCAATTAACTTTTATTGAGTAGCAAAGCTAAGAAAACTATATACAAAGTACACGTATAGTATAGATCAACGTCCAAACCAAAGAAACATATTTTAAGCCAGGCTAGGACGTGGGTCAGTGTCAGCCACCTCATACACGGGAAAAACACAGCCAATATTTTGTTTCATTGATTGTTTCTTTCAAACATTTTTCTCCGGGGACGGAGGGGGGGGGGGGGGGGGGGACTTTCAGGGGCAGGGGGCAACACTGGTAAAAGTATATATTTTCTATATACATTTCGTTTAGTGGCGGGGGAGGGGGGTAGACATACTATGGTGGAGCAGCCCCCCCCCCCCCACACACACACACTCGAAGAGTTCCCTGAAAGAAATTCTGTTTTTATTCCGATATGACCGAATGGAAATACTTCCGCCACACGCCGTTTCTATGACAACTATACAAAAAAAATGGCGAGTTGACTACAGAAGGGTTCGATAAGAAAGTAAACAAAAACCAAACATAAAAATAAAATGCCCTCCTGATATTTACATGTATTGTCTTTTCACATTTATAGAAGCAAATGTAGCAAAGCCTGTATATTAGTTCGTTCTTCCATAATCAAAATAAAAAATGAACCATCGTTATATTCTAAGTGCCCTAATGTCTGCCAATGTTACACGATGTCCAGGTCCATGTTTTCATCATTCAACATACTGTCAATGCTGTTGGCTGTTGTATTCGTTTTATGAAAACAGACAGGGCTGTTCACATCTGCCGGACTGCTGCTGTTGTTGTTCCTGTCGCTGATCACACTTAGATTTATCGCTGACGAAGACTTTAGGTCTGAACGACACGTATCTTCAGTATTGTCCAGCAAGAAGTTTGTGGGCGTGTTTATGTTTTCACTACTGGAGACGTGAAGGGTGTCGTTTTCTTGTTTGATGGTGTGGTTTGTGGGGTGTGGGGGAGTGGGGTGTGGGGGAGTGGCTCTACCGGGAGCTGGCGGGGTCCGGTTAAACTTTTCAAATGTGTCCTTGTTTGGTGTGTGAGAGTCCCCGTGTGGGAAAGTGTCCTCGTTACTAGACAACGAGTGCTCCGCCTCTGAACACTCGAGCAGGGGGGTGAGGGGGCTCTCGCGATGCTGAACTAAGAACCCCATGGGCTGGGTCATGGGGAAAAACGGCAGCAGACCCAGACTTAAGGTGCCTAAAGACTTGCAGGCTTGTACCAGCGGATACTTGGAATTGGGTCGTCTGCCTCTCGGGACTTTGGGCGCCTCCAGCAGACGTTCGATGCTGAACGCGCTGGATTTGATGTTTCCCGCGCCGCCGGGGTTCTCGTGGGCCCGGGGTGGGGCGCCCAGCAGGGAACTGACGGACAGGGATAAAATGGAGCTGGGGTGCTCGCTTTTGTCGGCCATGTTGTCCGTGAAGCTGTCGCAGCTGTTGCCGGACATAGAGGAAGTAGAGGACAGGAAATTGTCCACGCTCAGCCGCAGCGCGCGGTTCTTGCGCTCCTCTGACGTCAGGGAGGAGTGCAGACCCGTCAGGGATTTCCGTTTCTCCTCCAACTTCCTCAGCCTCTCCTCCTGCTTCCTCCTCTTCTTCTCGATCCTCTCCTGCTCCCTCCTCCTGATCTCCTCCTCGTCCATAGGATCGCCGCTGCACGTCTGGGGGTGGGCGTTGTGGGCGGGCCGCCCCGGGCCTTTCTTCGTGTGCTCTTTCTTCCTCCACTTGGCCCGCCGGTTTTGAAACCAGACCTAGAAGATAAAAAACATCAGATTTTTAAAACTAGATATAGAAAGAAAAAACATCAGATTTTAAAACCAGATCTAGAAAACGAAACATCAGATTTTAAAACCACACCTATAAAATTAAAATGTATCAGTTTTTTAACCAGACTTAGTAAACAAATAATGCTAAAGTCACATATAGAAAACAAAAACATCGGGTTTTAAAACCGAGATTAAACAATAAAAACGTCAAACTATTAAGTAAACCTTTGGAAAAAAACACTTTTCTCCAAAAACTAGAGGCTACATAATGTTTCTTTATTATACAGTACCATTAAATTATCTTTGATTTCTTGACCACTGATTCTTATAAAAATTATTAACACATTTTAACTAATCTGAAATTATCAGCTCTAACATTATTTTTATTTCTTATACCGTTGAGCATCCATGTGAAAGGACGTTGAATTTAATTACATCTAATGAGACGCCTTAACATCTTTCAGTTGTTCCCTACATAAATCTTACTGAAATATTTCAAATAGTTCCACACGCTTCGGCGCAACAGCTGAAGTCTTTTTCACGAGCTAACGAATGCGGGTTTTTAAAAACTTTCTAATTTTGAAAATATGTGATGAGAGTTCTGAAATGTGTCATGTCAGTCGATTAAAAATAGCCAATGTCATGTTCACTAAAAAATATGTGATGTTAGTTCACTAAAAAATATGTGATGTTAGTTCACTAAAAAATATGTGATGTTAGTTCACTAAAAATATGTGATGTTAGTTCACTAAAAATATGTGATGACAGTTCACTAAAAATATGTGATGACAGTTCACTAAAAATTTCAAATTACGTCGGGTTATTTTTTTTCAATGTCATTTTCTTTACGTTGTAATGTTGCAACGCTTTTTTTTTACATTTTAATTTTTATTGTGTATTTTTTTTTTAAATACTATTCATGAATAGGTAAAAATGTAACTTAAATTTTCAGCTAACAATCTTAAAAAGATGTTCTCTATCTCGTATAATACACAAAGTCAACAACTACAAATTTAATAATTTTGTCTGTCGTTGGTATCTTGTAGATCAAAAATCTCCACCTACATTTTTGTCCGATAACAATGCAAGAGTATACAATTTTCAATGTGATGATTAGGTTAGAAATTTTTCACCATCTTTTTCTGTTCCTGCCTAATGCACACGGGGCAGAATAAGTAAAGTTAATCTGTTTCAATTATATGGACATATAGGGAATAGTGTGGTCAGCAATAAGCCCAGACGTGTGCTAGGTACCCATCAGAGCTGGGTGGACTCAGGGTCATCCTAAAGACACGCGACTCGATCCGAACCCGGGACTTTTGAGTTGGCAGTCATTGGTCATTTAGGATTTGTTGAAAGAGCAACATGTTCATTAACTAAAGGGGAGATAATAGGTTTAAGTGCCAGCAATCATTATATCACTCTGATGTATTGATTAGTTGATAACGGAAGTTGTCACGCACGAGTGACGGTCACGGATGTTAATAAGGAGCAGTTTGGGTTATAGAGCAAACGTTTTAGTTATAGAGGGTGGAGGCTTAACTTAGAACTAATGAAATTGAATGTTATTTAAAAAATGAGGGTTTTTTTATCTATAGAAATATCGATTTACTTTTTACACATATGATAGAGCATGCGGCTGCTAAGTCGGAAGTGTTATATCGGGTCCCTGAACTGAGTCACTAGAATGTCTCTGAGCCCACCCAGCTCTGATGGAAAGTAAAAGCAGTTGGGCATAGTTCTAACCGCACGATATCTTCTTATGCATAGGTCACAGCAACAGATAAACTCTACTTTATCTATATACTTTTTTTCAGCGGATTTAAAATATTATTATGGTTAAAGTCTTGTGTTTCCTAGAATCCCACCAAAATTAAGCGCTTGGTCATATCCCATCGACTGAATTTTTTTGTAAATCCAAATTACTAAGGTCGGATGGTTAAAACCACATTCATTATTTACACACACACACACACACCCACACACACACACACACACACATACACCGCCCCTCGAGCGCCTGATTATTTGACTCCCGGTTGATTTTGTTGATGTCCTTCAAACTACAACAACAAAATTGCATTACAACAACAATTGTTTGCTATTTGTAAAGCATGCTAAAACGCTGGGATGATATAATTTATATAATTTTTATTTTTATTTATTTTGAAAGTCACGTTCAAATTATTATTTGACATTCATTATGTTTAGGTTTATTTCAATCAATTTTAGCAAGTCTTTATGGCCGTTACTTACCACCCATGTTCTTAACTATTGAGACGTTCAATACAGAACGGAACTTTTTACTGTATACACAATTTAACGTAATTAAACTAAAAACATGGCGAACTAAAATCTGGAATATTATCATTGTACCAGCTATTACTTTTGCTGTGTATTCTGTTGTTGATTCTTGTTTTGTTTTGTTTTTTTTTCTGTTTTTCGTACTAAAAATAGTTTATTATAGTTAAAGTATTTTCAAGATAAAACCAATTGATCAATTGAAAAGACCATTTTTTATAAATCCAAAACTGGTATTTTACTAGCTAGCAGCTTTATATAGAGGAACACAGTTTGAGATTATATCATTGACCAGGTTTAAAATGTCACGACAAGACACAATCAGTACGTCCCTACACCCATCATTCATTAAGCGGCGGTTATACCAGTATAAGGTAATGAGTTGTATAAAGTAACTTATAGCATACATGATTATAAAAATATTATTGCATAACGTTTTTAGGCCGTAACAGTAAACTGCAGTATGTTGTTGTCGTGATTGGAGACTAGAGTGTAGATTGAAGTAAGTTGAAGATTGTGTGGTTTTTTATTACACTTTGATGTAGTCGACACGTGACAATGAAATTAGTAAGAAGGCGTTAAATTAATAGGCGCGTCAGGGATATCTTCACAGAACTATTCAACATTTAAGTCTTATTACAGAATATTTTTTACGGTTGTGACAGAAATTTATTTTAGAAGTGTTGACAGCTGTGTTAGAATACATTGTTTACTCAGTAAAGTCATCATTTTAATTTAATAACTCTTGATAAATGTCAGGATTTTGTTAAATGAAGTTTGACCGTTGAGTCAGGATTTTGTGATATAACATTTGACAATGAGTCATAATTTTGCTACATAAAAGGGACAATTGAGTCATGAATTTGTTACACAAACGTCCAACAGTTGAGTCATGACTTTGTTACACAAACGTCCAACAATTGAGTGACGTGACACTGACCTGTACACGGCTCTCGACCAGGTCCAGCTTGAGAGCCAGAGCCTCCCTCATGAAGACATCCGGGTAGTGGGAGTCTTGGAAGGCCTTCTCCAGCTCCTCCAGCTGCCAGCCGGTGAAGTTGGTCCGTGTCCTGCGTCGTTTGCTGCTGTTGGGGTCTTTGCCGTCCTCGGTGTTGCCTGCAAAAGACGAGATAATTGGATTTTAATTCACGCAAGGGTCGAGGTGTTAAAAAATTATGTTTCTTCCAGGCATCTATTCGGGAAAGATCCGCCTTCCCCGCCCCCCCCCCCTCCTGAACGAAATGGAATTTATATAGAAAATATATACTGTTAACAGTGTCCGCCCCCCCCCCCCCCCGGGGAATTTTAGCCCCCCCCCCCCCCCCCACCCCCCACCCCCACGAAAAAAAGTCTGAAAGAAATACTGAAAATATTATGTATTGCCTGTAAGACTCGAGATATTAAAATACTATTCATATCATGCAAGAGTAGAGGTGTTAAAATATTATTTATTGCATGCAAGAGTCGAGATGCTTAAATTTGTTTATCGGCTGTACAGATTTGTTACCTGTAGAAATCAAGTTATCTTTTTTAAAATTCTGCTAAACATTTTTACTTTCTCGTATATACGTGGTATAGAGAAAGTCTTGTAATCGTGCAAAAAAATCGAGATTTTCGGAAATCTCGACGTTTTACACCTCACTGATACGGAAAAACATAATTTTGCAATCTTGTCGGTATGTCTGTGTGTATGTCTGAGTGTGTGTCTGTGTGTGTGTCTGTAAACACGATAACTTGAGTACCGTATTTTATCAAAATCGTAGATTCGTATCTACTTTTGAGAAATTTCCTATAACCGGAAGTGGTACTTTTTTTACTTTGAATTTTTCAAAAGCCTATAACTTGAGTACTATTTCAAATAGATAAATAAAATTTCACAGATCTAATTCTCTACCTTCTGTCAAATTTCCGTTGACCGGAAGTAGTAATTTACGCTATTTCCAATTTCTCAAAAAACTTTTTAGGGGAAATCACTCCCGGTTTATTTTAGAATTTTTTTAACAAATGCATATTATTTTTAAATGCTTACAAGCAAGATCATAATCTAACCGTTAATCTATAAACCCATCTAAATTAGACATATTCACGCTCCGAAAATATTTTTATCTTTAAGAAACTTCTGAGTCTCAAAGGCTTTTATAGAATCTACTAACTTATCTGTAAATATACGATACATCTAGAAAAAAAATCTAACGTTAGTTAAATTCTCTGGAAGTAAATCCCTAAATCTCTGCATGGAAAACTCTAAACTTCAGGACAAAAATTCCCTATATTCTTAAAAAGATCAAATTGAAAAAGCTAGTAGATACTAAAACAAAGCTTTAAGACTTTCAAATGTAGCCTCTACTTACTTTGTGTTTAATAACCAAACATCACAAAGCCGTATCACTGATTCAATAATAAATACATTCATATCAATAAAAGAACACACTGTCCAAAACTTTTCTTGAGAAAATTTAAATAACTAATTACAAATTTTCTATGCACGAGTTTATATAGATTACCTGTATTTTTTTCTTATTTTAAGGTGTAACTTTAAATGGAAAAGATAATCTTAGACCATAATTTTATATTTTATTTGTCATTTCTCTTAAACGGAGTTTTGAAAGAAATATGATAGAAAAATAAAAGAAAGTTTTACAGATGTTATTCTAGAATTTTGTTTCTGCTTCTTCTTCGTTCTTAATTTTTAGTGTTGGAAAGGATCAAGCCTTATCTGCCAGAGGGTTTGAACTTGAGACTTTTCGGTTTAGCAACCATGAGCTTTACCGACTCGACCACACCGACCCCTGTATTTTGTTTAATTAATCAGAGTTTTGTATCGAAGTTTTAAAATGTCATTTTACGGACTGATTTGTGTGAAACTAAACAACTAAATTCTTTATAGATAGTTATATTTAAAACCTTCTCAATAACTAAAATAGACAGCCATATACAAAACCTGCTAGAAAACTAACTTATTCTTATAAAACCTGCTAGAAAACTAACTTATTCTTATAAAACCTGCTAGAAAACTAACTTATTCTTATAAAACCTGCTAGAAAACTAACTTGTTCGTTGACAGTTATATGAAACCTGTTAGATAACTAAATTTATAAATGAAACCTAAATTGTTCATAGACATTTATAAATGAAACCTAAATTGTTCATAGACATTTATAAATGAAACCTAAATTGTTCATAGACATTTATAAATGAAACCTAAATTGTTCATAGACATTTATAAATGAAACCTAAATTGTTCATAGACATTTATAAATGAAACCTAAATTGTTCATAGACATTTATAAATGAAACCTAAATTGTTCATAGACATTTATAAATGAAACCTAAATTGTTCATAGACATTTATAAATGAAACCTAAATTGTTCATAGACATTTATAAATGAAACCTAAATTGTTCATAGACATTTATAAATGAAACCTAAATTGTTCATAGACATTTATAAACGAAACCTAAATTGTTCATAGACATTTATAAATGAAACCTAAATTGTTCATGGACATTTATAAATTAAACCTAAATTGTTCATAGACATTTATAAATGAAACCTAAATTGTTCATGGACATTTATAAATTAAACCTAAATTGTTCATAGACATTTATATATTGTTCATATGAAACCTGCCAGAAAACTCAAACGGAGATGTCTATATAAAACTTACTAGAAAACTAAAATAGACATTTCTATATAAAACCTGCTAAAGAACTAAAATCGACAGTTAAATGTAAAACCTACTAGAAAACTAAAAAAGAGACTTTTATATAAAACCTGCAAGGAAACTAGAAATCTAATAAAAATGTGCTAGAAAACTAAAACAGAAATTCCTATGTGAAACCTGCTAGAAAACTAAAACAGAGATTCTTATGTAAAACCTGCTAGAAAACTAAAACAGAGATTCTTATGTAAAACCTGCTAGAAAACTAAAACAGAGATTCTTATGTAAAACCTGCTAGAAAACTAAAACAGAGATTCTTATGTAAAACCTGCTAGAAAACTAAAACAGAGATTCTTATGTACAACCTACTAGAAAATAAACTAGAGAAGTCTAGTATATAAAACCTTCTAGAAAACTAAAACAGAAATTCTTTTATAAAACCTGCTAGAAAACTAAAACAGAGATTCCTATCTAAACCTACTAGAAAACTAAAACATAGATTCCTATATAAAACCTGCTAGAAAACTAAAACATAGATTCCTATATAACTTAACTAGAAAACTAAACTAGATATGTCTATATAAAATACTTGACACATTAGGAAGAGATGTGCTGACCTGATGAGTTGAGCGAGTCCCCCAGTTTGCCGTGATCCGGAGAGTCGAGGAACGAGAAGGCGCCCATGTCTGAGGCCGGGGACATTCTCTGTGGGGTCTTCCTGTCCAGCATCAGACTCTCCATCATGCCGTTCCCGTGGCCAGCTGTGGGACCCCCGGAAACCACTGAAGCGGAAACTTTGTTCCTCCCTGAGGATTCCTCCTGCATCAGTCTGTGATGGTGCCTCATGGAACAATCTAAGGCCGCGATCTGGTCCACTGCTGTTGTGTAGGGGAACGGCGGGAAAGCCATGGGGTAGCCATGGTGATAGCTGACTGCAGCCATAGAGGAGACAGCAGCGAAGGCCCCGGGGTAAGCCGCAGCCAGAAGACGCATGTCTCGAAGACTCATCTTTATATCGTGTCTCTTCAAGACTTATTTATCACTTATTTTTTTAACACTGTCAATTAATTAATTTGATTTAACAGCTGTAAATTAGCTTCAAACTTATTAACACAATTTATAAGAATGAAGTAAACGTTGTCCACACGCTCACATCACCATCTTGCCAGCTCAGCTAAACGTAGTCGTGTATTTTGTAGATTCCTGTAGTCTGACCAAGTATCCAACTCGGGCTGAGATTGTCGACTATGTTCTGTGGCTTTTATTGCCCGGCCGATTGCCGCTGATGTTCTGTCTCTCTCCTGCGGGCCGTATTGAATTAGTGGCCCTAGAGAAGACCACAATCACGGGCCAAGCACGCTTCGAGAAATTTTGATGAAATTTAGACTTTTTCAAATAATAAAAGGCGTAAGTTGTCCCCCCCCCCTCCTCCCCTCTCCCTGCACGGGCGGTCGCTTCAGCCAATCACAGCACGGGAAACGGATCGATGAACTGGCTAATCGGCCACGCCCCTTCGGGCTTGTTTTGTCTTTAGCGACATGAAAATGAGCGCGGTAATTGCCCCACTCCCGGAGTCCCTGGGGGTGACAGCCGTCCATCTCACGTGATCACCCCTCCCCCTTCGACCGGGCTCGTCTCACCATGTCTCACCTCGTCTCACCCGAGCACCAGCAGCAGGGAGCGGCGTCATTTCCGTTACAAATCGGAGTCTGTGGGTTACCACTCAAATACTTATCGATCTCGGGTGAAATCAATAGTTTCAATAACGTTACGTAATCGATAAATCTGGACTGTTCTGTGTATGACAAAATAATATTTTAATCAGGAATATAAAGGAGGGGGTGATGTGTAGATGAGGGGAGATTTATAAAAGATTGGAGACTTAGAGGGGAGATATTTACACAGGGGGAGAATTATGAGAGAGAGAAGATGTGGAGAACAGGGGACATAGGTAGAAGAAGGACATATATATATATATATATATATATATATATATATATATATATATATATATATATATATAACATTGGCAGAGGCGTAGCACCGACTGACACCATTAGGGGGGGGGGGGACGACACTATGGCAAAAACTTGCAAAATGTACAAAAAAATGCTTTTTTCCAGTTCCATTAATGATTAATTAAAGTTACATAGTCTTTTTAAGTACAAACTGACAATTATTACAAGAGGGTAGGGGTGAGACCATAACGTAAACGTGCTAACTATAGAGAAAACAATGCTACATCCAACTGTATTATTAACAGACTATAGATAAACAGCGTTACTATTAACTCTGCAGTGATTAAAGCTTTTACACATACATGTACACGTGTGGCATGTATTTTAATTATAGGCATGTTTAGTTCGACACACATACACACACACACACATATATATATATATATATATATATATATATATATATATATATATATATATATATATATATATATATATATATATATATATACATATATATATATACATATATATATATATATATATATATATATATATATATATATATATATATATATATATATATATATATATATATATATATATATATATATATATATATATAAGAGGGGAGATACATAAAAGAGGGGAGGTATGTGGAAGAGTGGAGATGTTATTAATGACAATTATGTGTACCCTATTAAACATTTGCATTGTAACACTACACTAGTCTAAAAAAACAGCCTGTTTTAGATAGAAACTGAGTTAACACCTTGAAAGTTTAATTAAAATAATTTTTTTTTTTTTAAATGCATGTCCCTGGAGATCTCTCATCCCCCCCCTCCATAGTCCACTCCAGGCCACCACCCCCCCCCCCCCCCATAGACCACCCTAGGCCACACTGAGGTCACCCATGCGATAAATTTCCATTATGACAAACAATCCAAATATTTCAAAACACATCAGTGTATTTTCCCCTCCTCCAAAGTCTAACATCCGGCCTAACATTAAATAGAATCGAATAACACCCCTTGAGCTGCACCCACCCCCCAACACCCACCCCCACCCACCCCCAATCATGCATGCTACCTGTCTATTACAACACAACGGGCCATAACCAATAAAAAAGGGGGATTACTCGCCAAGTTACTTTTGCTCCTCATATATTATTTTCTATTTTTTTTAAACAATTTATTTTTTACTTCAATTTTTATTACATTAAAATTTTTAATCCATTTCATTTCCCATGTATAACTGTAATCAGTGTTGTGAAAAAAAAAATTGAATAATATTTTTTTTAAATAAAAGAACTTTCGCAAAGATTTTTTTTAATTTGAAACTTTCCAGTTATGTAGGATAAATGTAATGAGCATGTAATTTAATGTTATTTAATGTAAATCCCTTAATCGTGTGTCTAAAGGTAGCGTTTTAATCAAATTAAAGTGCACCGACACAAGGGGGCGCTGTACTGCACTTGGGCATCGCCAGCGATTAGGTAAAGCCCAAGAGGAAATTGTAAGGATTAGGCTCACGTTTGACGGCTAATGTAGCCTGGTTGACAAACACACGCCGCATTGAAATTTGCTTGATTGTGTCTCTAGTGCGTCCGCGTGTTGTCGTACAAAGTGTTTAACAGCGGCCGATCTTTTGTTACAATTGTAGTCATGTTGTTACAATTTTAGTCTTGTTGTTACAGCTATAGTCTTGTTCTTACATCTGTATTCTTGTTCTTACATCTGTATTCTTGTTCTTACATCTGTATTCTTGTTCTTACAGCTATATTATTGTTCTTACAGCTGTATTCTTGTTCTTACATCTGTATTCTTGTTCTTACAGCTATATTCTTGTTCTTACATCTGTATTCTTGTTCTTACAGCTATATTCTTGTTCTTACATCTGTATTCTTGTTCTTACATCTGTATTCTTGTTCTTACAGCTATATTCTTGTTCTTACGGCTGTATTCTTGTTCCTACATCTGTATTCTTGTTCTTACATCTGTATTCTTGTTCTTACATCTGTATTCTTGTTCTTACATCTGTATTCTTGTTCTTACAGCTGTATTCTTGTTCTTACAGCTGTAGTCTTGTTATTACCAATGTAGTCATGTTGTTACAACTATGGTTGGTAATCCTTTTGTTATAACGAAACAAAACACAACGTATCCCAAAAAGTATACTTAGTTGGTAACAATAATTACATGGTGTGCAATACAAAATAATGATAACAATTTTAGAGGATAATTATCATCCTATATATATATATATATATATATATATATATATATATATATATATATATATATATATATATATATATATATATATATAGTTATTTACTCTTTAAGTTACCTTGCCTTATTATTTTCATTTATACCTTTAGCTTATATTTTCACATTATAAATACTTTTAACTGTCACATCCGTATCAAAAGTGACATTTTATTTTTGTAGGAAGTCACTTTGATAAGAAGTCTGCTTGATGGAAGACACATAAAGAGTAATTTTTCACCTATTTTTTCATTGCTTGAACTGAATAATGACATTAAACTACTGATCTTCGTAACTATTTGTGAATGATTTTTTGTCACTTTGTGACAAGAGACGGATGAAATATTGGCAGTGAACAATGGCTCAAGACTGACAGGTATGCCTCGACCGACGGCTCGTATTCTCACCGAGCTACGCACCCACGAGAGAATGACGGATCGAACGGTCCCTCCCACATAAGGGCCGGCTACTCTAGTGTTTGAAAGAACAGGGGACACCACTCGCCCCATCAGTGGAGCGATTTATTTTATACCATTACAATTATGACGTTAGATTTTTCAAATGTCGAGGTGATAGATTGAGTCCCCGCAAATAAAACAAAACGCCCGTGTTTAACATCAGAGCTGTGGTCTTCGCCGATCGCCCTAAAGACATTTGTATGAAGAGCTCAAAGCCGAATATCAAAGATTCAAAACAGTACCTGCAGAAAGTAGATTTTTTTTTAAATTCTTTTTTAAAAAAGATTTGAAGATAAAATAGGTCGTTTCTAATTATTTAAAAGTTACGATTATAGATTTAACATCTTGTCGCTATATAAATAAATAAAAATATCATTAAGTTTCAAGTAAACTATCACATAGCGTTTGCTCTTTTATTATTTAGCAAGAAATGTATGTTGTCTTCGTATGAAAACCCATGGCTAATATTAACAGCTAAAATAATTATAATTTATGATATTCAGTTGTTTTTTATTTTTATTTTAAATCTAAGTTTTTAAACTTTAGATTTGTTCAGGCAAAAGTCAGACCTAGTAAAACAAACATGTTCATTAACATATGCACATTTGGCCACAAGACATTCGGTAACTACCCATTAGGTAACAATACATTCGGCATCAATACATTCGGCATCAATACATTCGGCATCAATACATTCGGCATCAATACATTCGGCAACAATACATTCAGCATCAATACATTTGGTAACAATACATTCGGCAACAATACATTCGGCAACAAGACATTTGGCAACATATGCCCTTTCTGCTTAGGTGGATAATAATTTATTTATTTTGATCTCATCACAAATTGTACTTAAATCTTTAAAACAATAGGATAAGTTTTTAAGTTCTAAAGGCCAGCTCCCCCTACACCCCCCCCCACCCCCTACCCTGTGTCATCGATGACGAGCAATGTGACACTGACCCACGCCACACAAACAGATGACGTGTCAGCTTGTCAGCGTCAACACCGGACATGTAACAGCTGGCTTTGTCACACTGCCCAACAAGGTCAGAGGTCAGAGGTCAGAGGTCGAGACATCGATACGGCTAGTGGAGGGGGGGGGGGCTCTAATCAAGAGGTCAACTATTTTTTTCCCTATGATCTACCGCTTCGTATTTTTGCAAATGGCGTAAGGGTTGAATGTTAGTGGGGAGTGGGGATGATATGACCAGACTTTATTTTGCCATTAGAAAGTTTTTCGTTATACATTTTAATTTCACGAAAAGCAAACTGATTAATTTATATTTTTTTCACAATGACATCAAAAATATAAATATCAG